ATGCATATTGTCCTCATATACTGCTGCGAAATCAGTTCATTTAAATCTTAAGAAATCAAAAAGACGGAAAGCCTTTGACTACTTCCCTCTAGGTCGCATAGCGATGGTAAGATGGCCGGACCGGATTTTCTAAAAAGGATGGCTGCCAACGCTGTATCAGTACAACACTACACACTGCCTTGCTACGGAGACATCTGCAGTGGTTCACCTATGTCCTCAAGGGCCGTCGACTGAACTCTTGACATTGAACCTTGCTCCAACACCCTGTTCGATGTGGAAGGGTCAACGCGAATGCTTAACGAAGACACATCATCACACACGGCCGACGGAACGGGAATCCTCGCTGAATTAAAATCCGCACGTTCTATCCCTGGATGAATGCAAAGGAAAGGTCGAAAATGTAATGATGTAATTACGTCACTTCGACTTATATATCAATGGATTACGACCGACATGAGTGATAGGTTGCGAACGGTTGCCACGAAGCGGCACTGATAAATCCCTCTTTGATCAGTAGTTTTAACGACTTCAATCTGATCAGAGAACCAAATCAACACAGGAGACAAACAAATAATTGAACTTATCGATTAGGTTCCCTTCATTTTTTTCAAGAGTTACTTAAACACAACCGTAGAATATCGGTTTGTGGTGGAAAACTGACTTACTTTAGTCTAAAAATGTGAAAGAAAACAATTTTCTTTTACTTCAAAAGTGCAAAAATGCATAGTAACGACTGGACAATGCACATTTTCTGTTATGGGCTGTGATCGCCCAGTGGTAAGGTTACGATATTATCACCCAGGAGAATGTGTTCGAATATCACCAACTCCGTTTGATTTTACCATTGTGTTGTATGTCAGCCCTTTGATTGACCGCTTCCGCCTACCTGGAATTTCTATCTTTGTATATGCAATAAAAGGAGGTAAAAATGAAAAAGAAAAAAAGGAATAAATTTTACTTTCACTTCTCATTGTGCTTTTGATGATTGTCGTCACCTTCCTGCCGGAATCAATGATAAATATCTTGGTTGCTGATGGTGTGTTCTCTCTATCTCTCTTGGTCGCTTTCTACCCTGATGAATATTCACTGAGACAATGCACAATGTACACAAAATGCTGAGTTTCAAACAAATAATTTCAATGGAAACAGATGAATCTAATTTAACAACAGCTAGTATAAACATCTCTGTTGTCTATCTTCTCTAGTCTGGTCACTGCTACCTGCATTTTAGGAGTGGATCCTTTGTTACTGGAGGTTACACCACATTCAACACTAACCACAATAACTTATTTCCCAGAAAACATTATATCGAAACTGCTGTGTTTGAAAAGAAATTCATCTCCAGGGATAGATAACATTCGTCCACAAACCCTTATCGACCTGGCAAGTAAAATAACTTATGAATTAACTGAAATATTTTGACGTATGTTGGTATGTTATGTAAATGTGGGAAAAAGAGAGTTTCACTTAGAAAGTCGGCTGTTTTATTGTCCCATTACTCTCCTCCCCGTTTTGCTCAAAGTCACCGGACCCGTTGCTGTAGACAATATGTGTCATTTGAAAAATACAAGGTGTGATCCCCATTTGCAAAATGAGTTTCGACTCAAGCGATCGTGTACCATTAACTTGGTTCTGGCCCGAAAAGAGTGAACAAAAGCAGTTGATCATGGCAATGCAGTGGATGTACAGCAGCTCAAATTCGAACAGGCTTTTGATTGTGTGAATCACAGAATAAAGCCGAAGAAACTACTTACTTGGGGAATTCACGAACTTGCACTTTGTTGGATGGGCGAATTACCTCGACAACGTACCATTGCAGCTCGGGTTCTTGGGTCGCTTTCCGGACGTATCAACGTAGCCCGTGAGGATACGTACTTGAATCTCAACATTTTCTAGTTTTCATGAACGATCTAACGGACGTTCTGGGGCCACAAACATTAACTTTTGCAACACCGCGAGGAGACTTGGGGACTCACTGGCACTTAAGAGAACACTTAGTGCTGTTTTCTCAACGGCCGATCGAAAATGATAGTGAATTCAAGACATCAAAACGTATCGTCGTATTCGTTCGCAACAAAACTCTGTTTTGCATACCTTCTGGGATATTACCAACTTCCATGAGCCTCGAATGAGAAGGTCCTGAGTATCCTCGTACAAGATGATCTAAGTTATTCTGGAAACTACTCCAGGGTGTCACCAACAGTTGTGGGGCACAGCAATGCTCTATATCTGTTCGTTAGCTGATTGTTTTCCGAAAGCATTCGAGTTCACCTAAAGTACGCCATTCAAGCATGGGATCGATGGTTGTAACGCGATCGTAAGATTTTGGAACATCCACAAAGAGAGGCCAGCAAGATGGACTGCATTCCAGGATATAAGGGGAAAGACTAAAATCGATGATGTTTTACTCCATCCAGTATCGTCAAATCAGACTAGACCTGATGTGTCAACTAATGCAGAACCCATATCGTTCACTGTTCACCTCGTCACCCAAATTTAATATCAGTGGGCATTCATTCAAAGTGAATGCTCCAAAACTGCCAACTAGAATGCCGGCATCATTCCTTTACCCTCACGTTGTTCCTGAGCCCACGAGTGATTCTTTCAAGCCCAAACTGAATGGATTATTACAGTCTCAACTCTCGACATCCATAGCAGTAGAAAAAAATAGTTAAACTGAGTGATATCCGTCACTACTCTGTGGTTGGTCATTTGGAGAAAAAAGTAGATATTTGTACGTATTTCCCATGATAAAATTTGACTCTGTCACAGTAGAGCCAATGGTCGAAATCTGTTTTGCCAGTGATTAAACAGAAAGAATAAGGTGGCAATGATAATGAGTGGGTGCACGAGAGCCCCTCTCTATGATAGTCAACCATGTCACTCAATTTTTCTAGATGATGAGTCAGTTTACCTGGTTCCCCAATGTTCCCAGGCTCTGTCGTTCTCAGTCACTTATTCACAGTATTATTGACCAAACTTTGATTGATTCTTTGTCTACCTGCATCCCACTTACCCCATGTCCGCACACCTCACTAGTTCATGTTTGATCACGTGACCTTTTTGTAATTTTTCTTCGTTTCTCGTCATGGAGTTGTGACATCCGTCGTTTGGCTATTCAGCCCTTGCTTGCTATCCGCAATCGCCTTAGACATTTGTACGATCGGTGAACTACACAAATTGAGATGTGCACATATTTTAATTTAGTTATACGTTTGCCTCTGGTAGTACCGCCTTAGATAGATAATTCAGACAAGTTGAATCCGTCTTGTGAGGCTTGAGTGTAGTGGAATTTTTCTCGGGATCCCGACGTATATAACACTAACCATAGATTACAATTTTCCCGAGATCCTCATCCACAGAGCCTAACTCGAGCTGTATGATTGACTCCCCTGGTCAGGGCTTTCATCCCTCATACTAGGTCTCAGTTTGACCAACCGTAGCTTTCTTCTACCTACTGCACTGAGTGATATGGGTGAAGGTCATAAACAATGGCACTCGTACTTCTACTCATTGCCCTCGCAACCTTAGCCTATGAGAATTTTCTCCATCTTCTCTTTTACTTCGCTTTCAACATTCTAATTTTCATTCTGCTCTTTTATCCAAATAGGCAGTGACAAGATAGTAACCAAAACCGGCGCACGAAAGAGCGTGATAATAGTTGTACAAACTGCACTGAACCGTAACTGAGCTACTTTGAGATGTTCTCGACTCGGTAGTTCCATGACTATAGGATGATTCTAGTACTGAGATAACAATATGAATATATAGTTACATGTTGGGGGAAGTATCCGATTTTATCCGAATCTCTATACAATCGATCACACAACATATTAGGCGGGAAAATTGAAAGATCCGGATAGCCTAACTGGCGTTGCAATTTGAAAACTGCAGTAAGTTTGGTTCAGATTTAGCAGCAGAATGTGCAATGTACAATGAACGGATGGGAAACAAGNTGAACACAAGGTTCAGTAAGACACAGACAGAGTTTACACTCACAATGTAGACACTACGAAAAACGTTGCGTAATTAAGAACGGTAATCACATTTTCAGCTGTAAAAATCAGATACCAAGCCAATTGACGTCCTTCGAATTTATGATGTACTATTGAATTGAATTAGATAAATTATAGAATATAATAATTCCGGCGGCACTAGTTGGTGAATAAGTTTGTTTGTTACCAAAGTTTTGTAGTAAAATTATTGTAATATAACCCACACTTGTTGATCAACGAAGTAGGCCCATGCTCAAGTCCACCGTACCGATTGTTCCTCTTCAGACCGCTTTTTACTTTTGTTCCGAATTCCGATTTGGCGGGGAGCATCGTCTAGATTGTGAATCGAATAGTTAACCCGAACTACAGTTTAAAAAACCCCACAATTGGAAAATCATCACATGATTGTCGATCGACCTAAGCTAACGTGCGGCAAACTGGAAGACGAAATGTCACATGATAGCACTAAGGTAAAATATATCAACTGTGATCCGTACTTTTGTGAACGCTTAAGAGAAGTAGTTTTTACTTTGCAGAAAGAAATGCTTATACAAATATCTCTGAATAAAACGTCCCTCAAAGGACAGATTCTGCCCCACAAGACAACCATAGATGGGGTTTTCGTGAAGCTCTAATTGTCCGTACCGAGCTTTGTCTACTAACCAGCAAATCACCTCTTAATGCGACTTCCAGCTGAAGCGATCGATATCGTGTGGAATGAATTACAGACACAAGCGCCAGTAGATTGGTAAACACACGTGTACAACCCCGAGGGAAGTGGACCAATCAGAGACCAACGTGTCCCGTCGTACCTGTCTGTGTCGAAGATAGCCAGCCATGGACTGGCATAGAATAGATTTCAGGTCAGCTGGATTAAAGGTGAACCAGAAACGAAATCACTCGGCATACCAAAGTACCAGCAATTATTCCGGACGACGTTAGCCTGGCAACAAATGTGACATGAGTGATTCGCCTGTTCTAGTTCCATCATTTGGGTCCCACCAGCCGGCTGGATTCACATTACCTCCATTCTGGCGCACTGATCCACCACTCTGGTTTGCAAGTGCTGAAGCACAATTCCTCATACATCGAGTTGATGCTCAAGAGATTCGATTCGCACACGTTGTGAGCGCATTGCAACCGGATGTTACCAAGGAATTACGTGAGCTCATTCTGACCCCACCTTCGGATAGGCCGTACGAAACGATCAAGGAACGACTGTGCTCCATGACCGATTCACTACGGGAGCAACATATCCAACTGCAAGTCGCCGACGAGCAATTGGGCGCAGATAAACCAACAGATTTCCTTCGAAGGTTACAGGAAAAATTGGGTCCCACGTGCCGCGACGATGAGTTGAAGACTGTGTTTATTCAGAAACTACCCATTTGCACGCAGCAAGTGCTAGAACCAGTTTCTCAAGAGTTAAATGTTGTCAAGCTGGCCCAACTAGCCGATCGAATAGCAGCACAAACTGAACAGGATAAAGCAAATCAAAATGAACCACAGTGCTCAGTCAGAGTTCAGATACATCAATTAAACGAAACGTTGCAAGATCTGAAGTCTGTGGTTCGACAACTGTCACATTATATAACAATAACAAATAAAGTGTGCGATCTAAACGGGAACGGAATCAAAATATGCTGGTATCATCGACGTTACGGCGGAAAAGCTTTCAAATGTGCCCGATCCTGTGCACTATCCCACACATTCACATCCACTGCAAGGCACCTATCGGGCAATCAGGATTGATTATCATTGTGCACACAGGGACAGGAACGAAAAATAACCAACCCACTTCCGACTTGAGAAAAGTACATTGCCCGACATGTTCTATTACATAACTATTAACAGGGTCAGGTAGATGAATAAGAGTCTACATTTAGCTGTCCTTTTCTTGTCCAGTATATCACTTTTATGGATGTGCAAGCCCATTATTGACTGTGAAGGAATCTGGAAATAAATTATCACAACAGCATTCAAGTCTTTCAGCAAGCGAAGTGAGTCGTTCCCAAGGATATCACCTCCATAAAATATACCTGTCTACAGTTGTGTTCCGTGTCCGTCAGTCCGCCTGTGGTGGAAAGGAAAATTGAACACATTCTGGGAGCTATGCATAAGTTCCGATTCGATTGACCCTTTTGTGAAAGCGTTTGACTATTGCTTTCATTCTCTCTCTATGCGATATTCACCAAATACAATGAATACAGTTTTTAGTCCGAGAGTGAATCATACATTTAATTATCATAAATGTGAAATTGAGGAAAATCAATCCAAAGAGCAGACGAATTACCTGTACACCTGCTGATATCTTTTGTAATCTGCGAGTGTACGTCATAAGAGAAAAAAATCACCAGCATCTTGGATAGCGTTCATTATCATTATTCAACTTCATACGTATCTGGATTCGGACTGTACATCAAATAAATTACGGGGCAACAGTGTTTATGGTATGTAAATGGGTCCACGATTTTTGTTTCACAGTCAAGCAATCAAAACTACCAGGGAAAAGTGAACGAGCCAGCTCAAGTTATTGGAAGAACTAACTGATTTCGAGTTAAGCAAGTGCAGCGTCCCATCCTCATTGCTTCGGATGGCTGTTTACAGGATAGACGTATGTATCTGGCATAATTCGAATAAAACATCAGCTGATTTGGTCGAGTACCTAATTAATCAATGACCTGGCACATGCAGTATTGGGTCAAATCTCGGAATTACTAGCAAGGGCGATTTTATGATCCTAGTGATTTCCCGGTAGCGATATTGGCTAAGCCGATTAGGCTTTTCTTGTGCCATTGCATATGGTGAATAGTAGCTCGCAGAATCTGCTTTGCGTAACCATTTTCAAAGTGGATAAGTTGACAGATCAACGTTTATTGAGTTGCTTCGTACTTTTCTTTCACACATTCCCGCTTCGACTTGGAGAGCATTTGTACACAAGCTCCAATCGATCCACGTTTGGGTGTTTTGCAATCATCTAAGAAATATAACTGATGAGAGCCGGATCTGACTTGTCTAGTATCAGTGGCTGTGCCAGAATTATGGCTAAAAGACGTTTCCTTTCGCAGTTTTATACCTCCTGTCTCTGATGAACCAAGCTCAATTCAAACTAACGAGAGGGACAGTAACTTTTGGTTAATCGGCGGCTGTTTAGTAGACCTATGCCTTCCTCCAGTCAACCCACCGATCGATATCCTTACCACATCCAAACGAGGTACACTAACCCTACTAACCAATGATGGCCAAAAAGCAAAGGAAACATCTGGCGAACCGGAATGCAATAGACGAATCTTTTCAGAATGCACGGAAAGACTTTTGTGTCAGTCAACTTTGACAATTTCAGAGTTTCAAGAGTCACAGCAACTCAAAACGTCACCTAATGATAGTCCAACTATAGTGTTCGTGCATGAATGCAACGAACAAATCGCACGGGTGAAATTAAGCTCGTCAAAACACTGTGGGGTTTACCAGCTGTGAGCAACATAACACTCTCACATAATTCAGCATCGTATCGCGTAATACAGTGAAGTGATATTCACTGATCGCTGCCAAAGGTATAAGGTAAACAAAATGAGTGAGACTGTGTAAAAGGGATAGGGATTGGGCCTACTTTTAGGGATGGGAAAATAAATCGAGTCCCTGTGGTCGACACACCGTACACAGTTCAATTGTGCATACACAGTTTTTCAAGTACTCTGGTCTGGTAAGAAGTGACAGCAAGATCGCCATTGTTATCAGTTTGTTGCCATGACCTTCAGTGTCTCCATCTAGTTGAGGAGTCTGTTAGACCCCAACCCGGAAAAAGAGAAAGATACGTACTCTACTCAATCGCTTTGTGCATTTCTTCACATAGGAGAAAACATAATATAACCAATGTGCACATCTTCACCGGCCCTCTCTCCCAATAACCACTGCGAAAAAAACTACCGTGGTCCCATCATCTTTCTTTATGGTATGGTGATAAAAATAAGAATAGGCAATGAACAGTCAGTTGAGTGAGTTCTCTCAATGTTCACCTGTTTACGAGAAGAGATACATTAAAGAACTGGAATTGCTCCATAAGCAATGGTAAAATTGTTTTTAAAAAAGGTTGGTGATCGGGTTTGGAAAAGAGGAGAAATGATATAACGAAATGAATATCTCGTATCAAACGTGCTGTTTACAATGAGGAAATAACACATTGAAACAGTAAGTTAGGATTGAAAACATCGAAGTCACAATGAGTGCTCGAGTTTTAATTGGAAGGGAGCGGGTTGAACCAGATCCTTGGGCATCAGTCGGTGATTGTCGCACATATGGCGTTTGCAACCCAGACGTCATCCAGGGAACCAAGAATTTGGCCCAAACTGAACTACCTGAAACAAATGGAACTTATTTTCATTTCAAATCGAACAACGAATGGAATGATGTGGTTGACCAGTCCAGTCACAAAAACAATGAATATAAGATGTGAAATGTAGTAAGACAAAATTGTAAGAACCAACTACAGCGCTGTTAACGGAACTCAATATTATCCGAGAGCGGAAACATCTAGAATATCCTTTAAACAACGGTTATACAAAATCCAGCACAGCAAAAACCAAACGTGATATAAGTCACAAGGGAGACATCTGAGGCACTAAACGGCAAATACCTACTGAACACCTGTGGATCGAGTGGATTTTTTCAAGTTGAAAAGTGCAAACATGGAGGACTCAATACGTAAGCTGAGTAATACGCAAAAGGATTTAGGATACTGCAAACGTTCCGCATAAACGGATCGCTAGATGCTAGATTTCATTTACTATGTTTTTTTATTACACATATTTGTGTGGTGAAAAAAGACGGGGCGAGTCCCCATAGTCACGAAGAACTGCTGTTCCGTCACGGAAACCGGTAATCTAAGCCCCCGGACTTGGAGTAGCGAACCACATAAGACCCCGATAATTTAGGCGTGGTATTGAATCGGACAACAGTAAAGCTGTCTACCACCAAGCACCGAACACTTTCCGAAAAATAGCGAAAACCGAACAGACTGAAAAGTACCTACCTTCACCGAGACCAACGGATTGCATCTTTGCGTACGTCACCAAATCTGCTTGTTTATTGCTGGATGTATTGGGCAGTTCTCATGGAGAGTATCATCAATCCTTTGGATATACTCTTTGTGAGATGTTTCTGTGGATATTTATTTATCCTTCAGTGAATAATGCCTTTGGTTCGCGTCTTGTACAACAAATTATCCAGTCCCGGAAAGGTGTTCGAGCAAAAATCGCACCGATGTCTTCTTCCAATATCAACTTTGGATTATGTAATCGTCGAAATTCGCGACTCGCCTTACTGCATTCTCTCAACGGAAGAGACAGCTGCCACTAGATAACTACTGCAATCGCAACGCGTTGTGAAGTAACAATCTGTTTTACACGAGGAATATGTCGGGTGATATGGGTTCTGCATCGGATCGTTGTAAAGTGGTTGAGTGGTGCGCTGATGCGAACCCAAAGTCTTATTCCAGGTAGAGAAAAGTTTATACTCTACGTGTACTACAGGAAAGAATAATGTACAATCAAAATTGTGGAGCAGCTCGGTTCCAAGTATGCAAGCGAGGCGCGCAACGTCCACCAACGAGTGTGCATGGATGGCACTATTTACGCGGCAGGGATCACCAATCACAGTAACCCGATGGCAAAGGGCGGACATTGGTCAACGCGGAGGTTGGCTCAGTTTCACGGATCAAACAGAACCACATGGGACGATAAGCAAAAACGTGCTAGCCAGGTGTACGGTTATCATGCGATCAACTAACATTATCAAGAAAATACAGAGCAGTATGATACGAAGAGAGTACATAGCACCGGTGTAGAAAAAGAGTGAAGTAAAATCCAGGTATCATGAAGATTGAAAAATGTGTTCTGTGTAGGGTAGACTAACAGTAAACGAATTTCCAGATTAAACTATGCGTATGACATGAGGCAGACAAACAGTTAATGAAAACAAATTCGTATGATGATTAGGAGAGTTGCAACACATGCAGATGAAAAAAACGGGCATAGACAGTGTGCTGCTCAGGTTACTATACCGAGTNCCGAGTGAAGAATCTTAAAATAGGTTTTCGACGGATTAGAACAGTTTTGACACGTCTAGACTGATCAACTTCCCATTCGGTCTGAAACGCTTACAGTGGGCATGGTCACACAATTGGTTTGGATACCATGGAAAACTAAACAACAGTTCATCAGACAAGAAAAGTGAACTGAAGAAATGCTATACTGCAAAAGTTATAAGATGCTATTACAATGCACGAATATTCGCTTCCGTATTCTGCGTTCCGTGTGAAGATCAAGACACCATCTCAGTTCCCCAAGATAAGGCCACAGTTTATCCGCTGGGGTACGGTGGATTTTTTTCTCCAGATAATTCCAACAGCGTTTAGGCAGGAATAAGCGAAGTTCCACTTGGTCTTCTGTGTCCCATTCAGCCCACACAAAACGTGATTCTGTTCATAAATTCTTTAGGGTCATGTGACTTCCCATTTTATTTTATTTCGTCTAAGAGAACGTTTCGGGTACTCTTTCATCATTTGTACCGAAACGTTTAAGTTGTATGGATCATTCAAAGAGATGGAAGCAATGTGTATAAAACTGCGCCAGATATACTGCGACATCCTTTTTCCGCATAATTCCCTGCCTGTTTCTTCCACATTTCCCTGGGCTGCATGTTACGTATTACAGTGAACTTGGACTACTTGCACTGTATGACCATCGCGTATTGCGGTGGAAGGTAACGGACGAAAGGAGGCCAGTAATTAATCGGAAGAAGCATAGTCTCTACAGCGAGGTATACAGGCACAGTGAAAAAAAACAGCACTACAGACGATGCTTAAGACAATTCGAAACGAACAAGACGACAGCTATAACGTGGTACTGGATTGGAAACTGATTGTTAAGACAAATTCGACAAAAACCCTACCGATCCATGAATCTTTCCTAAAGCACGAGCCAACCCGGCAAAAACAGAAAAAGAATGAAAAGACAAGAAATTAGCTAATGTTTATAAGAAACAACAACGCAAATTGTGAATCACCTTGCGATGTGGTTGAGAATCTAAAATTTGTGCACGATTTGCTTTTAAATTTGACCAATACACGAATCATGAGAGTAGTGGAGGATTTGATTTAACAATATGATGATGAGACTCAAACAAGTGAGAAAAGCGGTCCGGTTTTTCTTAGTCTTTTGGTTCACGGTTCATTGGCTCCGAACCCGACGAGATTAATCATACAATACACTTTCTTTCGTCATCACGTGCACCAAGCGAATTAATAGTGAAATTCAACTTTAGATTTCTTCATAGCACTACGCGTCTTCCGGGGCACCATGGTTGGTGATGGATTCTGCGGATTAATTTGCATTGTTATATCCCTGCTTCAAAATCACTGCGCGTGATGTGGATACATAACCGTTGTCAGCACATAGTCAAACGAAAACAGCCAGTTTATCGATCACTAGCCCGACACAGTCGATTGAAGACTACGATGCCAGACAATACACACGAGCTGTACCATGAAACGAAAACTCGGAAAACATATCATTCATTTTCCATTTACGGAATAAACTACGGTAAATTCATTTATTTCCGGAACGTCGCTAGTCACAGTGTTTTCACTCAAATGATGTGTGAATTTATTTTTTGTACGGAAAAGGCTACTCATGAGTAGCCTAGTGATCAAACCGCAACTTAAAGGAAATCCTACTGGCAATCCCATGGTAAGGGGATTTTCGCGTTCAATGAAGTGTGGGCATGGGAAAAAAGTTATTAAAGGCATTTGAAAGACATAACTATGGGTGCAAAGGAAAGCTCAATCATTATTGAATAATGGGATAAATATTTGCTTTTCATACCTTCAAGATAGAAAAAGGCCCTGAGATGAACCAAGCATCGTAATCAACATCATCCGAACTCGATGTGGATCGGATGCTTTACGAAGATCAGGTAACCCGTAGCTCGCGAGACCATTCCGGTGGACGTGAACAGCTGGAAAGCACGTTGGTGAATTCAGTTTTTGACTGAGCATCTACCTGAAATGTAAAAAAAAAAGCAATAACACAGGTCAGGACTATCGTAAACGAGTGCATATGGTGGATTTTCAATAAAAATGAGTATCCGTTTCAATCAGAGGACTGACGAATAGGTAGTGGCGTAATTACCACAGCGGGCAATCAAATTTACCTTTTGATTGCGGGACTGGTACGTCACTACAGTGTTAGCACATTCATTCAAGTTTTAATATGATTCTATTGATCTCTTTCTGTCCCTCACATCGTATGGCATGATACCGATAATCCTCCTTATTCAAAATGAATGATTGATTCAATCTGCCTGTATTTCTTCCAGCAAGCTTGTGACCATGATGATTGTAAGAAGCACAAACGGTAGCGAACAAGCTCGTTTGCGTTTATTCACAAACAAGGCAATATAAATCACAAATTATATCAAACTGTTTGATTTCAGTTTTCAGTTTGTACAACCAATAACTATGCACCTTCGTGTGCTGGTTTCGCTTGCTATCTTTTGGCTGCCCATCAGGATGAGGCAGTATAAGTAAGAAAGGAAAGTTGAAATAGAGTCGCAGATAAAACGGAGATGGCAATGAGATTGAGAAAACGCACCAGGACCAATGCATTACAACACTCAGCCACATCACTCGGTATCTCTAACCGCTGATTACAATGACCCCCTCCAGGGTGCCTAACAGAACCAATATGGCCGTGTCCCTTGGTTAGGGTTTTAATACCCTCATACCAGGTCTTAGGTTGACGATCTTTGGCTTTTCTCAGTTAACACCTGCCACCACAAACATCACGAGCCATGGCAATCTATTGAGTGAAATGCATAACACATCCCAACGTGAGTAACGTGCGGAATCTGGATACTTGATCTGTTGGGCCACCGCAAATACCTAAATTCTGCATCCAACCTCAGCATTACTTGTCCGGTTGCCCCATCAGACTCGTGCAGTGTGACATAGTCAGCGATGTTTCCCAGTCGGGATGAGGTTGGGGACTGGATGAACCTGATAATGTAGCAACACTTTACACTTTGAAGGTGCAGACGCATATCGAGCAATACAACACTACCATTCAAACTATCCAGAAAAGCCTGCAATTTACCCGAGTCTCCACTTAGCAGTAGGATGTCGTCTGCATACCCGAAATTCAACATTTTGTCGCCTACGAGCAACCTGATGCCACTATCCCAGCAGGAAGGCAGGGTTGTATTTATAATCAAATCTACACCGAAATTAAATGGAAAAATAGAAAGAGGGTAAACTGACGAACATTACTTTTCGGCGTGGACTAGGACGAAAAGTTTCGAAACAGTTTATCAGGGAGGGAGAAATCATGACAAAATGGAAAAGGAAATCAGTAGCATTCCAGTTCCATGACCGGATGTTGCTCACACTTTGGTCATGACACGTACAAAATCCGGTCATGGAACTGGAATGTTACTGATTNCCCCCCCCCCCTCCTAAACAACAGTTTGACATGAATTGCAATGTATTAGCCTGTAGAAGAATCACCGCAAACAAGCTTGTTCAAGACCGTGTGTTTTTATTATGGTGTGTGTAGTGATGGTATATTTCGATGATCTTGATGATAACCAACAGCCCGTTTTTGTGAGGCATTTACGACCAGGAAGGGAGTGGGGTGATGTGTGAAAATTGCAACCAATAGGAGGCCGGTATCCAATTCATCGGATCAGACAACGCTGGACGGAGTAAAACGTATAAATTAACCAATGCATCTCAATGCTCAATTAAGCCAATGGCCACTGCCACAAACAGAACGAAGTGCGTTCGTTTGTAATCGGCGTCTTTGCAAACTCGACTAGATGAACTGCAAACCCATTTATGGTCTCAGGTCACCGCCACTGGGAGCCAGTGAGTAGGGCGAATTCAGAAGAGGATATTTGACAGGCTTCGTGGTATGGGAGCAATTCACTTGCTGCAAAGGAAGGATGACCAGTCGCCACCCAAGACACCCAACCGTGACCACCCTAAGGTGATGACAAACATAAATGGAAGACCTCTTATAAATGGAATCTACTGTTACATTACTACAGGGTACATTGAAAGATGAACAGCACAAAGGGTAAAACTTACAGTCACAAGGATAAGCCACTTATCCTATAGCGATCAATCACAGCCCAGGGACCTGGAGTGGCGAACGAGAGGGTAGTACAGCTATCTATCTCCATAGCCGAGTGCCAGTGACACGTAAGTGACCACCACCACTATTCTAGAATAACGTAACACTCACCGGTTACGTATGACATTACTAACTGCGTCCAACATTATTCCATTACTGGAACTAACACTCAGTGGCAGTATTTATTACTTAAAGCTAGAAGGCTAGTACAAATCGGTGATAACGATTACACTCATTGAACTTTTCATTAAACTGCAAGATAGCTAAGATGTTCATCTGGACGACAGTGAAGCGTCCTACCACGAAATTTGGATGGCAGTAGCAATCTTTTCACTTAAAATGTTAGGGCCTAAAGCACACCAATGACAGTCTCTTAAAATATCCAGTCACCACGACTACCCTCAGAACGATTCTCCGTTATCCGGTCAAATGATGGAAATAGGCGACTAGAGGAACGTACTGCGCAAGAGCCTTCAGTGAACGGATGACGCAAAGCCTCCAACAGTTGCTCGGCCGGCATGTAATCTTCGTCCTCAGCAGCCCGAATTACTTGCTCCGCCAAAAAGTTTCGCAAAACAATCCGGGGATTTGTCGCTCGCATCAATGCGATTCGTTGAGCGTTGCTCACATCGGGTCGGCGTTTCATATCGGTGCGTAAACGGGTGAAGTAATGATCTAGCCAAGTTTGCCACAGCTGCCGATCCCGTTCACGTTTCTCTTCCTGTGTAATGTTCTGTGTAGTGAATTATCAGAAAACAGAAACAGAACACCGGGAATTACTATTAGCCAGAATCGCACTCTCGGATTCATTCAAATTCTGAAAGCAAATGCTCGAAGCAGATAGGGCAAGCACTTGACCATGTTAGGATTGGAAACAAACACCATAAAATGCTACTAAAACACCTACCTTCATCCAGACAAAATAGGACGGAATTGATGACAAAAGAAAATGAAATGACAGCCTTTTACAAACAAAATGGTATTCCCACAGAGGTTGCACAGAAACGATTTGCTTACGAGACCTATTTTGATGAAGTGGCACAGCTTCATGAGAATACTGAATGACTAAACGCGAGAGTCAGGCTATGAGAGAAGTTTCGCACATTTCACAGCCGATTTGATTGTATCTAATTGGATTTCGATTTCAATTGTTTGCGAGAAATTATTGGATTATTATTGTCATAAGATTATCATGATAAATAACCTTAACAAAACGAACCAGCAACAATTGTTTTCGGCAGTTCGTAGCCGTGCTCCTACGGATGACATGGTGAGAAAATACTCATCACAATGAAAGTCGAGGGCGCGGTTTAGGGGCATCAATCGGAGAGACAGAGGGTTGAAGTTCATGCGGATGTGTAGAATAACAGTTAGTTTGTTAGTTGATGTGACGTTTTTCCATTTAAGTCAAGGGACACGTCATATTCTATCATGGTCTTTAAATTAAATTTTTTATTATGGGCAAATTACAAAACTGATGCTTATTGAATCCTATAGGTTATGTACACACTGGGTTTGGTTGGCAGTACCGTTAAATAGCAAACTATACTGTTCACTTACCGATGGTGAAAAATTAGGTGTTTCAATGTTTCATGGGGTTGTGCCTTGAATGAATCGATGGTTGGTGCACAAATAACTCGAAATGGAAGAGAGTTTCAGACAGTACAAACTCTGAGGCTGATAGAGTGACACCTGCAGTCTAGCCGACTCTTTTGGAGCAAGAGCTTAAATGTATGGCGCTTTATCAGACCATTCCTGGATGATGTTATTAGATTACCACAAGGGTGGATAGGGTGCAGTATTTGATGTACGAGGATCATCTCTTCCAGTATACGACGGTATTCAGATGAATACAGCCCGAGAATATGCAGCCTTTCTCCATACGTTTTACATTGTAACCATTTGACCATTTTGATTGCTGTTCTCTGCGGACGTTTGAGTGACTTTTGGCAGCGAATAAGCTATGGATTCAAAGCTTGTATAGCATACTGAAACCGATAATTGAGGAGCGTGAACCAATTTTTTTGGAGCACAGAGGGTTGGGTATAGTAATCGAATGTGTCCCAACCCGGGCAGCATTTGAATGATTGTATCGTATATGATAAACGATGAAAGCTTTGACAAAGTATTGAAAATCGGTTCTCACGACTCGCGCATACACGCCAATGCAACGAGAGAATCAAATGACGTGACATAAGGTTACATGGTGGCCTGAAAACCAAAAATACCGCAATATACACGGAAGAACTCCACCCCTCTCTGTCTTATGTAGCACGCAAGCCTGCTATCTATTCGATCACCGGGGGTTGGTCAGACTGTTTTTCAATTCGCCTCTACACGATATAGCACAACCCATCCCTCAGGACGTTTTGCGAGTATCACACATAACGCATCTCAACACTAACCCCCAGGATTATGTCTCAGTTGGAAACATTTAAACCCGAGTAGTTTTCCAGTTCACGCTTCATTTGTTGTGTATACGAAATCCTCCGACGGTTGCATAGTTTCCTTACGATCCTCAAGGAGAGTCCCAGTTTGGCCTATTATGGCAACAGTGAATTCACCATTTCATAGAACAGCACCGTGGCTGGTCGAATTGCTTAGACCCATCCTTTGTAGACTCGCGAGGTGCAGTCTGTGAAACCGTTTCCAGTAGGCAACAGACATGAAACAATATTTTCTTCTTGGGTGTCGTTCCACCGTTCACCAGTTTTCATCTGGAGACGGTTAACATCATCTGTCACCAATTAGAAACTCTACTTCTTCCGGTAACAAAACTAAAAAACCTGCTATTGAGTTGCATACATAAAGTCCGATTTCTATTTAACAATGCCCTCTATCTTCAGATGAACAGAATTGACATGGGATCCCCCACCTGATCCTCATGTCTTTTGATGGCAGTCGGTCAAAGACCGACGAGATAATCCAAAAATCTAGGGGAACGTAATACCAGTGTCGACGGGTAGATATGGGGGAGCGGTCAATCAACGGGCTGCATTACATAAAAATGGGGAAAATCTGGTGGCGGTGGTGGTATTTGAAGTTGGTGGCCTTAACCCTTTGAACATTGCTTCTGCCGATTATCCCGACTTCAAAATACTGAAACAGAACTATAATAGGTTATTTTTGCCCGGATTAACTTGGAATTGTGCATATCTCTCTCACACACGCGCGCGCCACAATATCTGGAACTGTTATACACACCGGAGATGCGTAAGTGAATTTGTTAATGCGCGGTTGACCTGACTGAAGAAAATGGAATCA